GCTAATAATAAATCTGTGGGGAAGGATATTAACCACAAACTACTATGTCTAATTAGTAATGTACAATAGCCAAGGCCAGGGAGGGAAGGTATTATTTATCAGAAGAACCAATTTTGACAGTTAAAAAATTCAAAAAACATCTATTTGTTATGCCAAAACACATCTTTCAAAATACAGTATATACATAACTCCTCTCTTACTTTGGCATTGTTTTCAATGTTCCTGCTTTGTAAAAATGCCAGCTATAGTAAAGGCACAGAGGAAGAATTTGTGTTGCTTTAGCTTTAGAAGTCCATTATGAAACCTAAAAGCAAGTCATCAAGTAGGGTTTTTTTTTGCCTTTACAACCTCCCTTGCCTATTCAAGAGCCATCTCTCTCCCTCTTATATCTCCTTTCGAAAGCATCTCTTTACAGTGAATTCTCTTAGTTCAGAGTTTCACAAGTACTCTGAGCCTGGGCTCAAATAAAGCTAATGCATCCTGCTGAGAAAGAGTGGTAGCTCAGCCACATGAGAGATCTCATGTCTTCACTGGATATTGCTGCTCAGTGTCTGAGAAGCAGGAGTGCTGGTGCCCAAGACACGTTCCCTTTGTGCAATCTCCAGCAGAAATCCCCAGGAAGAGGTATTTCTGTAGCAGTGCAGCAGTAGAGCGTATGAAAGGAGTGTGGAGCAAAGAGGAGAAGAGCGAGTGTGTTGGGGGGAAGAAGGAAATGAATGAGGAGAGAACTTAAGGGAGATGGGGAAATAGTCGAGGGGAAAAGGCATCATAGCAAACTAGTCGGACAGTGAGGCCGGTGGATATGCAGTGATAATAATCATAGCTCTGATCTGATCAGTAGACAGACAGAATAGGGCCTTTTAAACTGAGCACATAATTTTTACCCTTTGTGACTCAGTTTCTTCATATTGGAGTGGATGTGATGATATATGCTTAACATTGACTACTCATTAAAGTCACTACGTTCCTCAGAATGGAGCCTTCATGGAGACTGGAGCATGTTGTCTCAATTGAAACAGGGAGGGGAGTCCTCTGTATTCATGCTGTTTTTCAAGGGTGTTTGTTTTTTCCTTAGAGATCTTGTTGGAACCTGCAATGTGCAGGTTTGCTTCATGAAAGTCAGATAAGCCCCAACAAGTCGCCACTGTGACACGTAAGGGGAGGAAGGCACGTGATTTGGTTGAGAAGGTGAGCCCTGCAGTGGTGAGATGATTAGGAAGTCTGACACCTCAAAATATCATGGCTCTGAGTGCAAATGTAGCAGCTTTTCAGTTTTGTTTTGCAAATGTCGTATATTTAATTTGCCTCATGAGTTTTGTATCTGCAGTTCTGATAATGTCACAGTTCTATGTTGTTTTTCCATAGCCAAGAGGGCTGAGCAAAAAGTTTCATAGTGCAACTGGAGATTCTCAAAGTGAGTAGCTAAAATGCTAAGGCAAGCACTGAATACCATGAGAGTTATGAGAAAAATGAAAAGTCCTTCCTCTGACAAACATGCATTATACATATAATATATTGTACATGTACACGTAATTTATACTTTAGTGAATTCTGGGGTCATATGGCTGGTAATTAGGGAAAGAGATACCCAGCACAGGAGAAAACCTGAAACAAAAGAAGAAATTCAGCAGCCTGTTTTTGTCAAGTCTGGCATGCAGAGAGCTGCCCTTTAGCTGCCTTCAGTTGGTCTTTTCCCTGTCCCACCTTTAAGTGGTTCTCAGCTACCTGCAGAGGGCTGGAGGTGCTGCTGGGATAGAGGTGTGCTGGCTCTCACTTGACTGCAGGATTTTGAAAGCCACAAAGACAGCAAGTGGTTCTGGTGGGGCAGCTGGCAACATGAGCACAGCCTCTCTGTGTCTCCCACTTTGCCTTTCTCACTGCACCTTAGAGGAATAGGTTCAATCAGAAACTGCCTTTGTCTTTTGCTGCATGACAGAAAATAACAAACATCCAGAAAAATTAATAGCAAGCCTAACTGCCTGCTTCTTTTCCTTTTTCCCTTTCCCCTTCCTGAGGCTATGAAATGGAAATTAGGAAAGCAAAGTCAAGGGCTGGTTCTTTCCTTTTGCTTTGAATCTGGAGTTACCATGCCCAAGACATGGCTGGGATTATGGTGTTCCCCTGGGCTGGCAGGTTGCCATTTACAAACCCCTTTCAGGGAAGGTACAGCAATGTTTCTCTGCACAGTTTGGAACAGAATTAGTATTCGCTTCTTAAGAAATTACATGCTTGTAAAAGGAAACCAAGAGGGAAAAATAACTGCTGCTCTATGGAAGCAGGGATAAATAAGAATATATAGGAATATTTTCTTACTTTGGTAGAGGGTAATTCCACAGTGTGGTGGACAAACAGGCACTGCTTGTTGCATTAGACAGACAATAAATTATTTTTTTTTTCCTCCTTCTGATTGAACTGTAAATCACAGCTGTCCTTGTTTACTGCAGATTTTTCTTTTGTGATATATGAAATGTAGGATGCAGAATTCTTGTCCTGATGATCAAAAGGACTAGCAGTGTGGTCAGTGGGTGATTAAAACATCATTTAATGGGAACAGGTGCATAGCTGCCGTTGAACATTACCATTTCCCTGGCCAGATAATAGTAGTAGTAGTGACCCCTTTTCATAAATGCTACCTCCAGAACTCAGACCACCTCAGCATGTTTTCTAAAAATAAGTTTCTTGAAATATAAAGGATGTCTCTTCACAGCTGCCTTCTGTTGTCTATGTTTACATCATAGTTGATGAGAGCTATTCCATTGCATTGGTTCAGTAGATGGACTTTGTAGGTTTACACTTCAATTCGGATGGTCCAAGTCTTAGGGTGCCATCACACTCATTGGGTTTTTTCTTTGGCCATTTTTTATACTGCAGAAGTGAGATTTTGTATATGGTACTGATGAACAGGAGTGCTCTACTGGTAAGGATTTCCTAGTACCTAATTATCAGAATGAGTTACAGTAATTCACCTCTGTCTTTTCAAGAGCAAGTTCAACATTTAAAAAAATAAGGTTATGGGGGTCTCAAAGGCTTTGGGAAGATAGGTGAGAAGATTTTGGGGTCACTATTTAAATTGTATCCATTCTACAATTTCTAGGCAAAAGATCAGCTCCTGCATGTCACATGGGAAACAGCCTCCAGTCTTTTATCTGGTACTGAAACACATAATATCCAAGGCAGTGATACTGGGAATGAAGATTTTCCTTTATTGCTGTCCACATGGTTGATACTCTCAGAGTAAACTTCAAACTTCACTGTGTAATTTAGGGCTTCTGTTTGACATTTCGTTTCTGTGTGTGACCCTCTGCACTGAAGATTATAGATTATTTACCTGTGAGGTGTTACAGCAGGCAGCTTCTCAGATTCAGTGCTGGGAATTCTTTCAGTAGCCCTTACGTCTGGGAACAATGTGACAATCCAAGCATTAATACAAATGTGATTAAGTATCTTTTCTCAGCTTTGTTTGCTTTGTTCTACTGATGCCTACAAGTTACATAATGAGTAGCATGTACAGGGTCTGCATTAAAGGCAGTTTTGCATTGTAGGAGAATTCATGGCAAATTTATTTTCCTTTTAGCAAAACTTCAGTGGGGAAAAGAATTGCACTGTTGATTTATTTTGAATGAACTCACAGAAGGCTTACTAAGTGTGCTATGTGGAAAGCTTCTTGAAGTATTGAGGGTTAACACTCTCTGCTCTTAATTTCAAATTCCAGATAAATATGTTTTGAGCTTTGATCTTATCTGGACTAATTCTTTGTCACTGTACTAATTAATTCAGCAAGCTGCAGAAAAGATGCTAATTTGGGCATCAAAGAAATAAACGGATGGGGGGAGGTTGTGTTTAATCAGAGTTTTTAAAAGATGAGTTTTACTCCCATTTGACTGGTTCTGGAAGTTCAGACATTTTAGTCTAGCTCCAGCAGTCTGATACAGTAAATAAAAAATAAATTAAAAAATACAAAAATGGCACTTGTTTGCTTAATTTTGATGAAACAGGAGCATCATAAGGTGGATTTTTTTATATTTGCAACTTCTGCATTCCTGCTGATCATAATGATTTTAACTCTGATCACAGCATTAGTATAATGTGGATTATCTCCCCAAATAATTTGAAGATGGCTAAATGTGAGGATACTCACATTCATGAAGTTCAGCTGCATTTGTGAAACACAAATAATAATTGTAGAATAGCACAATTTGTTCCATGCCTCCACTGATGTAATAAATCAGAGGTTAGGTTATTTTTTCCCTTTTCAGGGGAGCTGGTTTTCGTTGCCTAAGCTTCCCTGTTGATGGCTGTGGAGAGCTATTTTTGCTGCCCTCCTGTTGTTGCTGCCCTGGGAGTGAGCCCTAGAAGTGGAAGAACAGAGAGGCAGCAGCCCAGCTGCAAAAGTCTTTCCTGCAAGCAAACCTTACCTAATCTAACTAAAAATCCCTTTTTCCCTCTTCACTTCCCAGATCTCTTTCCAATTTACCCAACAGTATTGTAGTTGTACAGAGACTGCCCCAGAATTGGAGGCACTCCCCACCCAGAAGCAGGGAGCAGCAGTAGGGGCTGAAACAGCCCTCTCCTGTGTTCATCATCTTATTGGTGCCTTCCTTTCACCCTGCCAGAGCAAGGAGACTGGCTCAAAACCTGCTCCTGGGCAAGGCTTTGTCATGAGGAGGTTCTGCTGTAATGCATGTTGTACACTGGGAAGGGCATCTCGATGTTGCTGGGGCTAAATCCTCCACAGAGGGAATGGGATCCACTCTCTGGAAGCAAGGGGCTGGCAGAGGACCAGGAAAAGAGATGCTTAAACCCCTCCTGTGCACAGTGCCCAGCACAGAGCTGCCCTTTCACCATATGTCTAATTTGTGCACTTTCCGTCTTCTGGGATATTGATGAAGATTTGAACGCTGTTGCCCAGCCCTTGCTATGTGTGCTCCATTCTCAAATTATCAAACATGTTTTGCCAAAACATGTTCTTTTCTTTCTGTAGTTGTTTTAGCTGTTGCAGAGCTCTTGATCCCACTGGTGTAATGCTCAATGGCACACTTCTGCCCAGTAAGTAAACATTTAGTAACAAATGTTTTAGGTATTTAGAGAGCCACTAAAAATGTGAAAGATGTATTTCATTAATGCTGCTATTAACATAAATGTAAAATGAGCCTGGCCTGTAATCACCATCAAGTCTGATTCACTAAGGATCTTTACAGCAATGTTTAATACTCTGTAAAAGTGTATGTATGAAAGCAATTAATCAAAGCACAGCACTGCTTCTAGAGTATTTCTTCTACCATAAAAGCTGAGTGATAAAATAACTTAAAACACAGCACAGTAGTGGCAGTTAATAAGCTTTTTATAGTCCCTGTGTGGATCTGAAAATCATACCTTATTAGTATCTTTATCTTTCTTTCTCACTTATTCATTCTTACTCACATTTAAATTTAATTTTAAGAGTTATTTCTAGCCTTTCATAAGGGACCTGCTTTAATAATCTCAGCGTTTTTCCCCATTTTGCTGTGAAATGACTAAGAGTCAGAGCTTTTGTTATATGTACTTTACAAATCACTCTTGATTTTTACATGTCATTTCTGGAGATGTCAAGATTTTCTGACAGTGTTAGGCTTTGTGTCTTGCTTGACTGTGTCATAGGCTCTCTTGAATTATTTGCCCACAGATGTTTGTACTTTCATTGTGTACCTTGTTAGCTGCAGTGGAACCTCCTGATCTTGGGCAACTGACTTAGCTAAGAAATCCAAATTGCTGAATTTAGTCAGGGAGCTGCTTCAAGGTTCCACCCACCAGATGTTTCTGCTGCTTAGAAGTCTGGGACTTTACAGACCTGCCTGCTTTTTAATCCTTGAAGCAAATATCAACACATTTGAGATCTGGAAGCCCACGGCTCCACACGGAAACGAAGTGTTGCCATGACCACAGCTTTAGGTCTTGCATGCAAGACATTTATCCCAAGTAATAACAGAGCGGGTCTGTAGTAGGTTTGTTTTCATTTTTATCCCTTAGAATCCTTGGAAAGAAGCATACATACGCTTTAATGCTATAGCCAATAGAAAGGCAATAAATCCTGCAAGACAACATACATTTGGTATTCAGAGACTTTATTTCCTTAATGTTTCTGAGGGGAACAATTTCAGTTGTTTGCAGGGCACCCTTTGAAATTAATAGAAATAGGATAATGCCTCGCTCTTGCACAGCATATTTTGAACAGTCGCATATGGGCTTTTCCCAAAAGCACAAAGTGCTCTAAGATCCCTTCACATAAAGAAAATCACTTTATGTTTTTATTTCCAGGAGAACTGTGCTCTGAGTAGCTGGAATATTAACTTTCCCAGCTGAAAAGTATACTAAGGTTAACAGGGCTGTAACATCTTTAACAGTGCTTCCCAGGCATTTACAGTGGATAATCAAAGAACTGAGGCACTCACTCAACCTGGGAAGGCATGGATTTATTTCCTTACTGTCACAGCAATGACCAGTGGCTTCATTTGACATAAATTGATTATAGATGGCTGTAGAATGAGAAGATACAGCTGATCCATTTGTTTTCTTCTACTTATATTTCTCCATTTGTTACAAAAGGTTTTCAGAGTGATAAATCCATCAGATATTAAGTTGAAGTGAATTTGACTGTGCACGGTATAGCAAAACAGACATTTTAAAAATTTGTGTACCGTACAATTTTTCATTAATGTTTTTATTCTGCTGACAATAGTATTAATATGGAAGGCAGATTTTACCACAGTACAATTATTCAATGCCTGGAGAATTGACATTTTCAAATCCTAAAGCCATTCAGTTTCCATAGAATTTTAATATGGATTTGATTAATTCCATAGTATAATTTGATAACAGATTTTATCCTGTTCTTGTTGAAATCATTGGAGGCCCTCATACTGATGTCAATGATAATATGAGCAAACCTAATTTGATCATGCAGCAAGTACTCTTACTACCTTTTTTTGTTGTTGTTCCAAGAAGCGGTAGAGACTATTAAGCCTGTAGTGCACAAACCCATGCAAAATTACAATGGCTGGAAGTTAATTTTATCATCAGAAGCCCATGGCAATTATAACACATCAGTGAGCAGATCATAACTTTTAGGACAGGGTGTATAAATTCAGGTAGAGGTGATACTGAGTTCTTTGTGGTTTAATGCTGTCTGTGTATATTATTGCTTTTCTTAACAGTGTTAAATTTTGTGCTGCTTTTATTTTCTAGTATTTGTGCAAGATTTTTGTTGAGCTGAAAAACATAATAATAAGAGAACAGAATGAAAAACAGTAATAATAAGAGAATGGATTTTTATGGTATAGCAATGTGCAGAACAGGCAAAAAAAAAAACCAAAAACACAAAACAAACCTTACATCTGAATATTTCCCTAGCCTTGAGCTATATGCTGCATACTTAGTATAACAAGTCAAAATTTTAAGCCCGCACAAATCCTATCTGAATGAAAAAATTGAAAAAAATAGTCACAGAATCATGTAATGGTTTGGGTTGGAAGGGACCTTAAAGATCACCCAGTTCCACCCTGCTGTAAGCAGGGACACTTTCCACTGTCCTGGGTTACTCAAAGCCCCATCCAACAGAATTCAGCAGAATGACCAGGTTGGAAGAGACTTCCAAGATCATCGAGTCCAACCCAGCCCTAACACCACAACTAGACCATGGCACTGAGTGCCACATCCAGTCTTTTTTTAAACACATCCAGGGATGGTGGCTCCACCACCTCCCTGGGCAAACCATTCCAGTACCTTATTATAATTTCCATGAAAAACTTTTTCCTGACATCCAACCTGTGTTGCCCTTGGCACAGCTTGAGACTGTGTCCTCTCATTCTGTCTCATTGCTGCCTGGTGAGAGAGACCAAGCCCCACCTGTCTACGCCCACCTTTGAGGAAGCTGTAGAGAGTGATAAGGTCACCTCTGAGTAAACCTGGCCTTGAGCACCTCCAGCACCTCCACGGTTTCCCTGGGCAACCTGTCCCAGTGCCTCATCATCCTCAGTGAGCAATTTCTAAACCTACCCCTTTTTACCCCTTTAAAGCCATTCCCCTGTCCTATCACTCCTTGTCCTCGGGAAAAGTCCATTTCCTTCTCTTTTGTAGCCTCCTTTAGGAACTGAAAGGTGATATAAGGTCTCCCTAGAACCATCTCTTCTCCAGGCTGAACAGCCCCATCTCTCTCAGCCTTTCTGGACAAGAGAGGTGCTTCAGCCCTCTAGACTTGTGGCTTCCTCTGGACTCACTCCAGCAGCTCCACATCCTTTTGTATGTTGGAGGCCCCCATAGCTGGATGCAGCACTCGGGGTGGGGTCCCACAAGAGACACAGAATCACCTCCCTCAACCTGCTGGCCACACTGCCTTTAATGCAGCACAACAACAAAACTTGTTTTCGTCAAGACCAACTCATTATTCCCAGTTTATAATTACACTGAAACTTGCCAAATTTATGGCAAGAGCAGCTCTACCAGCAAACAGTATTGTTTTTGTAAGGTTTGTCATGTTGGCAGTTATCGCAATCAAAATTGTCACTTTATTTTATTTAAAATGTATTTCTCCAGTAAGCAAGAAATAATATCTAGACTTGAAAGGGATGCATGCTAAAGACTATTTTTTCTTTTGTTTTTTTTACATTTCTCTTGAGCGTGCAACATATCCAGCTTCAACTCCCTGCAGCAATACAAAATGCCCAAGAATAATGTTTTCGAAATCAATATATGCTACAGTTGAATATGAAACTCCACAAACCTAAATTGAAACTGTGAGAGAAAGCAGGCAGACTGAATATAAACAAAGCACCAGAGCTGGATTATGACCAAGATGCAAGTGCTAATATGGCCTCTTGAGAAAACTGCCATGAGACCTTCCCAGCATGAGCAAGTGTCAGAAAGCAGGGGTGTTTCAGGAGCTGGTGCTTATACCCAGGTGATTTCTTGTTTGGCTCCCTGGCATCTCTGTAGAGAGTAATATATAGTGTTTCATTTGGCTTTTCTTTTTCACCTGCGTCATTTCATACCTGTGCACCCACCTTACTCTGTTTCTCCTCACCCTATGTACAACCTCTGTCTCTCTCTCGTGTTTCCTGACTGCTGCCCTCACTGCCACCACCACCTTCTGATGGGGTGTGTGACTCTAGTTCCTTGGAACTGCTGGAACTCAGAAGGAAGCAGTGAAATTAGAGTGCTGCTCTACACTCGGAAAAGGAAAAGTGTGGAAATTATATACTGTATTTCTGGAAGTGCTGAAATGAGTACAGACCATGAAAAAAGAACTGAAGATTGTTTGTAGACAAGGTGTATGTGTGTTTTGAGCAAAGGATCCCTCAAAGAAGGCAAGACACCATCTATCTCTATTGTGACACATAGGAAAAGAGAGAAAACCATGCATTGATAGGACTCCCTGCTCCCCAGCACAGTCCCTGACAGACACAATAAAGCATCTCATGTTACTACCTATAGTATTTGCCCTTTTTATTAGTACCACATGCTATGTGACTGTCTCTCACATCCATCATTCCCTTTCTAACCAAATTCTTACTCTCTGGAAAAATTGCTGCTGAGTTTAACTTCATTTGACTACAAGCTCAGAATTATTAATTATTAAATTCACAAAATATTTGGATCATTATCTTATGAGTCTGATTACTTGCAAAATTTCTGCTTTTGTCTGTGGAGAAACATAAAGTCAATGATTTACAGCTGATGTATAGTCACAGTAGTTCAGCTGTTCCACTTGAGGCAGTTTGGGCTGACATGAAAATAAATGAAAAATAAAAAGGGTAAAAGAAAGATCACAGAGGCAATGCTGCAGACTTTCACAGAAGAGTTTGCAGTTTTGAGTCAGATTAATTAGTTTGCAATGGAGTATATTTAATCAAGAAGTAATTACTTTTCTTTACATTGTTGTCATGCATATAAGGACACATTAATTTGGAGGGGAAGACACAGGTTGATCATTTGCCTGTGGAACTGAGAATTGTAAATTCGTGAAGAGGAGGGGAGGTTTTTAAACTTTTTGTTTGGTCCATAATTCATGAGCGTATTTGACCCCCGTATTCTGTCTAACTCCACCAGAAATTAAATGTAGCTCCCCAGTTCAGCCACCTTTTATAGGCTGGGTAAAGCAGACTTGTTATGCACGTTTGTACAGTGTATAAAACAACAGAGTAAGCCCAAAACCCATTGGGGCCTCTGGAGGACTTTCACAGCATAAATATTACATGATAGTATATTACTAGGCAGAAAGAAAACCCCAGAAGTTTAAAAAACAGCTCTTATGAACTGCCTAGGTTTGTACTCTTGGAACAAAGCAAGATTTTATTCTTTCTGATTGCATCCTCATTTAAACAAAGAACAAATCCTAAAATGAGGGTGTCATGAACGAGAGACAATAGTTACTGGTAAGAGTGGAACAATGGCCCAGTCTGGGTGCTGACACCACAGCCACTGCAGATGACTTTCAGACACCTGTCATGTGGCAAGAGGAACCTTCATCCACTTTTAAATGTGCCATATTAATATTCCAGCTCTGCAATGCCCTGAATTTCAGGTTTGATGGGGTTTTTCAACTGAGTTTCAAGCAATAGCTTTCAAAAGTACAGGGTCCAAATCAATTTCTAAGCAGTCCTTCCTCTTGCATATGGCCCAGGTAATACTGGTATCATACCTTGCAATGTGGGAAATTTATGAGTCACTAAGATAAAAACTCAGTGTTTTGACTGCCTAAAATTTCTGTGGTTTATGGCAGAAAAGTACTGTTTTTTCTTCTGTAATTATTTCCTCATGACTCCTTTGATATCTTTAACAGATTTGGAAAGAAGAAGGAAGATAAAAGTGGGAAGGCAGATCAGAAGGGGACTCCAAAGCAAGATGTGCTTAAAGAGGAGGAGCTGGAGAAAATGAAAGATGAGCGTGAAAGGTGAGTAAATGGCAGTAGCATCTTTGTTCATCAAGTGAAAAACTTGAGAGCCAGGGGTTTCCTGAAGGAGCAGCCAGCCAGCCTGTCCCAGACAATGCCCACTGCAGTCGGGTCCAGGCTAGCCAGAACAATAGGCTAGTCCTGGCTGAGTCAGAGCTGCTCTGTGACAGGAGCCTCTTGTTCTCCTGCAGTTTCTGGGAACTTCACTGGCACATTCAACTCCCAGTTTCTGCCTTAGCTGCTGAAGATCAGTTCCTTCAAAACCTGTTTCACCTCTGCTCATTCCCAAGGCCAGCTGAATTAGTGATTTTCTTCTCTACTTCTCTGCAGCAAGAACCTACTCCCTTCTCTCCTGAAAGCTGCTGCTGTTGTTTTCCAGCACTTCAGCCCTCTTTGTCTTCAGCTGGCTGTGCCATCAAATAGTAGTTTTTGTACTTTGGTATGTTCTTTCCTGCACAGTGTTTGCTGGTAAACCACGTGTTGCAGAAATATGTATGCAACAAATGTTGACTGTGCCGAGGAAACACCTGGAAGAAGTCAGGTTCAGATGGTTAAAATCACTGCTGGCAGAGGCAGGAGTCTGCCAGCAGTGGGATGGGCGAGAGGTGCATGGCAAGAAGCTGGGTGTGTTGGAGTTGTATTTCTGAGGCAAGACCCTGGGAGTCTGTCCTGTTCACAAAATATACTTTCCTATGCCCAGTCTTAGTGAATTCTTTATCTTTCCAGATTAAGAGATTTTATAGTTTTGTGCTTTTCCCCATGTCTATCCTTCAGAAACCAGAAACAGTTTGTCAGTATCAACAAGATTCAGAAAACTCCGTTTTCCCTTTCCCCAACTCATCCAGAAGTATTTGGTATGCTGAAAAAGGTCTTTGTTTCCCTGTGATTACTGCTGTCAGAGAAGTTGAAGAGCCTATAGTTTCTGGCTCTCTAGAAGTGTCTGCAGATGCTGTAAAACTTTACAAGTTGTAGTAATACATTTTGTCAGTGCAAACAGAAAACTTTCAGAGGTCTCTCTCTTTCACCAGTGCATCCTGCTCCTGGGAGAGGGAATGGAAGCAGACGTTGTTCCTTTGGGGCAGACAGTATTTCCACATGGATCAATGTGGTACTGGTACTTTGTGGTACTGGTTAGTGCCCAGGGAAAAGACACCCTGCTTTCATTAGAGTCATGCAGTGCATGGTCAGCACTACAAGTGGGAGCTAATGGGTTTGACTGGGGGAAAAAGTCAGTCCAAATCCTTGAAGTCTGCTGCTAATTTTTACTATTTTAAAAGCTGGCAAGGTGTCCAGTTACTAGAGCACTGCTACTGGATATGCTTAGCCAGTGCTTAAGTATTTAGTTCATCTAAGTTAAGTAGTGTCAGGAGAAACTTTGTACCATTTGTTTTAAAATTTCTGTGCTGTGTCCTTGATTTTGCCAGATTGATGAGTGCCTTTATATTAAACTGCTGACTCCCAATTTGGATACTGGCAATTTGAGAGGTATGTGTCCTTCATTTTAAAGAAGCCAGTGTCTTTTATTAGGATCCTGGCAAGCTAAGAAGCATGTATCCCATCTGTTAAAGGGCCAGTGTCATTTACTAAAATGTTGGCAGGCTGGAAGGAATGAACCCTTCTGTCTAGAGGTCTAACGTTCCAATTGGACACAAGATAATTGTTCTTAATATTTCTTTAGCGTTGTGTGCTTTTTTTTTAATTACAGTCACTGATTGACAGTAACTTGGTACGGCTGCATTAGAAACTGGCAGCTCAATGTCTTCATCATTCTAGTTTCTCTAGTAATGATTTCAGTTGTGACCTGGAAGAGTTTGTGACTGAAATGGAGAACAGCAGGTGTGTTGAGAAGTGGATGAACCAAGATGATATTTTTAACTCACTTATTTGATTCTTCTTCTGTAAGGCACGAGAATAGGAATATCATACTTTAGTATCAGGTAGTATATCTTCTATCTCTGGGGGATTTAAATTAAATCCCAGAAAAATAGTGAAGAAATTTTCCCTATGTTATCCTCAGTGGAATGCAACACGTGCTGTAAAAGCAAGCAATTTGCTTCAACTTTCTATAAGAGCATGGTTCTTACTCCACATAAGACTACCTCCAGGCTTACTGTTGAAACCTTCTTGAGCTGGTTATAAAATAGAAGAAGCTTTGTTTTTGTTAGAGAAAAATTATATAAAGAAGCTGCTTTTCCTGTATGGGTAAGAACTGTTTGGGAAATTGATTAAAATCACTAAGGAAGCATTACCTGACTTGAAGGTAGATCGGTCCTTTTGCTTAGTTGTTGACTGTTCACCTAATGATGACTCCCAGTAAGACAGTAAAGACAAGTTTTATAGCTCTGTCCCAAGATTTAATAATTCTATAATGTAATTCAAGTCCAAGATTTTAATGCACACGTTGGCAAAGGAAACCTTGTGGAACATTCACACCATAGATCACCTGCTCCTATGACTTCACTAGCTGCAATCCTGCATACTTGGTCTTGTATTTATAAAACTGAAGCTTAGTAAAACACATTCATATTTTCAGATCTATTCTTGTTGAGTGAAATGAGCGTATGTTAAAACTACTGGGTATGTAATAGTAGAACAGACTACAGAAATGTTGCAAGTTTTGATATTTAACAGCTTGAACAAACTAAAATTGGTTTTCTAATATTTTAGCCTTTCTAGAATAGCTTAAATGCACATCTAATTCTACTTTTCCAAGATTAGCTGTATAACTAATTCTTGTTCAGACCCTCAATTCAATTATTACAATCCTAAAGTCAGATTTTTTGCTTAAACATTTTTCTGAAATGCTTGCTGCCTACCATAGTAACTGATATTATGATCTTTCATCTGGGTTTTTTTTTGGTTTTGTTTTTTTTGTTGTTTGGTTGGGTTTTTTTTCAGAGGCCATGTTGTCCATTTTGGACACTAGCGATAGAGGTTGGAATAGTTGATTTTTGGGCTGGGTGTGACAGGATTAATGATCAAGTGCTTTTCAGCATCTTAGCAGCTGTGGAACTCGCCTGGTTTTGGATATTGGTTTTGCATGCAATATATGCTTGGCAGCTCTCCAGAAAGCAAAATACTGTTCCAAGATCTCAGCTGAGAAAATTTTTTTTGGTAGGAAGTGCATTTTCAGTTTACAGGACTGGGCTGTCTCTCATAGTTTTGCAGAGTTTTTTGATTGATATTGGATAGGCTCAATATTTTACAAAATCCCAGGTATAGGCTTTCTGTAAAGACTGAAGCCTTCTTGCAGAAATTTTGACGAGCTTTAGACGTGCAAAAATGTCAGATGTGTTCACTGCACAGTTATGGGCTGGCTGTGCAGTACAAGCTCAGTGAATCTGGCTCTGACAGGAAACATCAGCTCTTACGTAGGTGTGCTGCATGAGTGTAAGCCCATCATGCCTGGAACAGGTTGGATTTCCTGCTTGCACAGTGAAGGAATTGAACAGTGCATGTGCAACAAGTCTGGCACATCCAGAATGTGTTAGAGCTAGTGGGCGTATGCAGGCAGAGTATTCAGTGCTCACTCTATGTGAGTGCAGATGATTCCCAAAGGGACAGGATTTGCTTGCACATTGGTCTTCAGCATAAATTTGCCTGGAAACTCCTCTTATAGGCTGCCAAGTTTCAGATTTGAACCTCAGAAAGTGAAAATAAATTTAGGATTTTGCTAACCTAGTAATTTCTATTTCGATTCCACATTGTCCCAGTCTCTGTTTTCGGTACAACTCTCTGTGCTGCCTTGTAGCTGCAGTTCTCTGAAGCAGCTCCACATCCTGCACTGAAATGCTGACATCATTATTTTTTTTTTACTGCTTGTATTCCCTAGCAATCCCCACCAAGATCAAGGTCTCATTGTGTCCATTGCTGTCAGGAAAGCTTGGGCCTGACCCCAAGCACTTACAGTTGAGGTGGAAGAGAGAAAATCTGCCAGGAAAAAAAACGTGTCCTCTGGGTGGGAATGTGACATTCAGGCAGTGCAGCTGCTTGTCCAGGTTCCTTAAAAAGTCCCTGTCAGGCTAAGAATTGATTCCAGACCTCAGCCCCAGGCTTCCTTTCTTTCAAAGCCAATACTTTATTACATGACTACTACTTCTGCGAGCTCCAAGTAGTGAACAGGAACTTTGGATGTTAGGCATTCCTTCTTTAGTAATAGCCTTATCTGTGTCCAATTGAATATGAATTTAGCACCTCCTTTAAATTATTTTCTTCTTCTCCCCCTACCTCCTTTAGTTTTATTATGCCAAGGTGATGCAATGTCAGTGAAACTTGAGTGGAAAAAGACAGGAGCTCATGATAGTTAAGGAGTATTGACTTAACTGGTGGTACAGTTCTTTGAGGTGGTGGTTTGTCCTTCCTGACACAAGTCACATGCTTCACTGGACTGAGGCCTTATTTTAAATAAACTCATCATTTTGTTCATGCTTCAAAGAGTTTGGCTGTAATAAAGCATGTGCTTCAAAGGTCGAGAATCTGCCCATAAAAGGAATAAAGAAATGCTGTATCTGAGGGTTATTTTGATCAAGCTGACTCAAATCTGTATTTTTAGTGTGTTCAGTGTAAATTACTCAGAATTTATCATTTTAACGACAAGATGTTTGCTACATTATTAAATACTGGAAGAGGCCTTGTCTTTTCCTTCCCTCAAAAAAGATTTCATCCCTCCCTCCATTTCTTTCCCACTCATTTGAAGTTCTTTTCATTTTCTAACATTTGGAAGTAGTTGTAAAATGAACAGGAAAAATATATTAGAAGCATGAGTTTTACACATCATAATTTTTTTGCCTTTTAAATGCAAATTAAGTGACTATCAACTGAAAGAAAAATATTTTTCCTGTTTGTTTAATACTATTTTATTGGGATTTTCCTACTGAGACCTAAGTCTTCCAACAGAATTGAACACTTACTTGACATAAGAATAAAATTTACAAAATTAAGCACCTTGTTGAATATGGGAAGATTTTTTTAAGTAGCATGAGAGTTAGTTAATAAGGAGG